TGTCACAGGTGGTCACATTTCTGAGACCCCCCCCTCCCTAGTGTGACGTCACATGTTTTGCAATTTCACATCGAAAAATTATTAAATTAACAGCAGTTCCGAAATTAGTTTTATTTTAATTTAAATTAAGTACTTTTTTTTAATGAAATCAACATTATATTAAATATTTGAAACAATTGAAATGTGATGTCACAAAACTTAGGACCCCTCCCACCCCTTGTCACACCATGTCACACTTTGTCAACCCCCTCCCCCCCTCTTTACGTGTGACGTACTTTATGGATGACCCCTTATTGGCTTTTTCTATTTCTAAGAATAGCCTTTGATGAGTGCACTAACACGGCTGTAGCATAAACCGGTCATGCTCTGCTGAGTGGTTGTACTCGAAAAGCGTTTTTTACCAAAACGTTCGAAAACGTAAACACTCTCACGTTGCTTTCTCGATGCATCTCACTGATGCATGTCATTACTGCTGCGTTATGCTTTATTTAAATTTCACCTTCTATTGTGAGTGAGGTGAAACGTGAGGCGAGATTGTGGAAAGGAGCAGTGTCTGCTTGGCTGTGGTGACGGCTTGTCGACCTAAGAAGCTGTTGTCCTTAACGGCTATTAAAATTCATAAGTTAATAAAATCATTTTATTCTTTTTTTTTGGTGAGTGTCGTCACACGATGTCGATCAAATTGTCGGTCGCGGTTTTGCTGGTAGCGGTTGCTGTGACGCAGTGTGCAAACATTTTAGGTAAGTACTTTCTTTGATACGAGTACTTGATTGGAATGTGTGGGTCATTATGCATTAGATTTGAAATGGTCCGCGATCGAGGTGCTTTGTGTTATGAATCATGCTACTAAAGTTTATGCTAGTAAATTAGTTCTTATCATCAATTGAATTTCTTCTTATAATATTAATTTAATTTTAAAAAGGGTGTGATATATTATGCATTTATAAAATGCATGCACAAGTAAACGTTTTATACTTACACAGACATCACACATTTATCTAAGGGTGCAAAGTATATCAAAATATCTGAAAAGTTTTTCAGTTTTTTAAACAACAATTATTTCTTATATTTCTTTTTATATGTTCATAACATAAAAACAGACCTAAGTAGCTTTTATTTGAATTTGCCATTTTCAGCAAAACTTTCTGTCATCAGAGTTCTTAAAAGGGGTCTTACAGTTAGGTTTTATGTAGGTACTTCAACGACAGTAGTGCAATTAACTCACATTCAAATAAAACCATAATGGTAATGTGGGTGTATATCTTATAATTTAAAGTTACCTACTGTATATTATACAAAGAAACCAGCTTTCGATATAACATTATATCTGCAGTGACATATTTAATTTCATAACAAAGCACCGTATCGCTACAGAAGCCCGCAGTGAAAGTAGAAACTCGAAAGTGCTAGAATAATTTTAGGCAGCGTATTACCATAATACGAGAGACGCATGTCGGCATTACATAAACCATTGTGCTCCGGTATGACTGCAGTTACGCTTGTTGCGTGAATGACAGCTCGGACACAAAAGCATTGGATGCGGCTTTTGGCATAATGCCTTTGGCACGCTTTTTAAAGTAATCTGTAGAGACAGTAACAAAACCATTCAATGGTAATAATAACCAATAATAGGTCATTGGTATGCTAATATGCTTTTGTATAGAAATAGGTAAGTATACATACTGTATGACTTATTATTTTTATAAGAAAGCTTATTCGTTATTACCGACTCTTTTAAACAGCTGCGTGGAACTTATTTTTTTAAGGTTTTCTTAACTAAACACGGAGGTTTATGTATTGTTAATAGAAATGATTTTGCAAGAAAATATAGAGTCCAAAGTGCTACAATGGCAATTGTACTGCATTAGAGAGCTAACATGAGATCTGTGTACAAGAACTGCATTACTTCTAAGTGCTTTCCTAGAATTTACACATTAGTAAATGTTCAAACCTCTCTAGAACCAGTACACAAGCACTTCGTCCTACTTAATTCAGACTTATCGAACTCTCCAGTCAGAAATTTCTCTTCATGCACTGCACTTTCCTTTGCACAGCCCACTTTATACGTTTCAGAGAAATTTAACTGAAAGTAAAGACCTAGATCTACCTAACTGGTTCAGTTGTTTTGAATATTAATATCAATTAGGTACGAGTATATTGAGGAAGTACCAGGAAAAATTATAATATTACCATGTCTCGTAATCATCAGATTGGTATCAATCCTCAGACTTCCGTTTTGAAATAGAAAATAGCTCACGTTGTACTTATTTGAAACTATTAATTTGTATAATTATCTAATTAAATAGGTACCTACTCGTATACTTATGTAAACGCAAAAGTTGTGATGATGGTGGATAGTTGTTTTTTTTAATCCACAACGAGAAAGCTCTTGGCCTGTATCTCACCTGATGGTAAGTGATGATCAGGCCGAAGGTGGAAGCGAGCTTTACTCGGAATCCTCAACCACGGAGGATTGAGGGTTTGTTTCTTGTTTAAAAACAAAGGGTTAGTTTTTATGAAACATTACATATCGATCCACGAAGACGAAGCTACGACATAATTGTATAGATGCGTAAGGATAATAAAAGAGGTAAACATACCTCATTTTAGGGAAGTAGAATTAAGACTAGAAATATTGACTGTTACAGATTATTTCAACTTCGAAAATGCCAAGGATCTGATCGAGGTGCCGAAGCAGCGCGAGCAGAATGACAGAACCTGCGCGTGCAAGGGCCCTGCCTGCGTTTGCTGCGTGAACTTCAACATCACTTTCGTGGATTTGGGCGGCCCAGGTAAACGTTATTACAGGTTATTAAAAAAAATACCGTTTTCGCCATCCCTAATTTTTAAGTGACCCCTATGGTGTTACCATAACAGGAATTTTGTTTTCAGGAATGTTGTTTGGTGAATACGGGCATGACTCTTCTTTTTCTTTTCCCAAGCCTTTTTTCCCATTATTAGGGGTCGGCTCTCCTTGTTCTGAGGCGCCAGGACAGTTTGTTCTTGGTTATCAAAATCTTTGATTGAGTTAAATTCTTAAGAGCGTTTACGCCGTTTGGCGCAAAAACAGTACTTATTCAACTCGATACAATCATTAACTAGTTATATTACAAATATGTTATAGGCATAAATAATTAGGTAATATCATCGTCTAAATAGTTAGTTAAGAAAATATTTCTATCAATATAGTATTTAAGAATTCTATCAACATAAGTCCACACAGGTTTTCTAAATTTCCACTTTAGCGTCAGTTTACAAGCTGAAATTTTTATAAAAATACTGTGAAAACGATAAACAAACATTTATATCCTATAGCATTGGTCCTTAGGCAAATAGTTAATTGAGAAAATTCTTAGATTTAAGTATTTTACAATAAGAAATCACAAATTAAATGAACGTGAAATACCCAAAAATCAAAGTGATTTTTACACCATTATTCTTCTTTAATTCAACATAAAAATAGCTTAATATAATAAAATAACATCTTCTTTAAAATATTTACTTTGAAACGATATATAATTCATTGTAATTGTTTTGCTATAAACATTTGAAAACTAGCGGCATATCGCCGCGCGCGAATCATTTCCAATGATGCCCCTTGAAACGCCGCGCTTTGCGTAAACGCTCTTAATATTATGTAGAAAAATAAAACAAAACAATCACAAATGAAAATAAAATAATAAATAATCAATTTACAAGTAGTACTCTTGAATCAACATATCTTCCAGGTCTGATTGATTGACTGATCCAATATTGTTTCATTTATATTTCCAGGATGCGTTCACATGAAGTACATTTCACCGGAGGAAGGGTTTTCAGTCAACGTTTCATATGGAAAAAATCTCCTACACAGCGCGAAGATACAAGGTAAAACGGTACAATTATTATACGTAAATTTTGTACGAATTTCTTTATTTTGTACGAACTTCAGTTCATGTTTCTTACCTACTGTATTAATAGTACCATCTTTGAGAATTGCACCAAGCTCCTAAGTAAACAGATTTCTCTTACCTACAACTTTGCTAATACATCTCCGCAGGTACCAACCCAGCCCCAATCTGCTTAGAGGTCTTCGGAAGGTTTGCCCAAGTCTGTGCCAAGTTCAGTGATATGGCCCCCACAGCTGACGGCCTAAGAGGCTGCCTAGACTTGGAACCCAGAATCTTGGGTGATAAGCAGTTGGAATTCCCAATCGGCTGCTTCAGATCTAAGTCTGGGGGCATGGAAATGGAAGACCCGCCAGCTGAAGAAACTGAGACGTATGTAGAATAATTAAGTTCAGGAAAACATAATTTAACATTAATTGTTGTTGTCGACACGACAAGAAGATTAATGATATTTTTATTGTCACATTTAAACTTTATGCGGCACATTTCAAAAGAAGTATTTTTTGTTGAATGTCAAGTAACAACTTTAACAGTTGTATTGTTTTCTTACTCTAAACCCAATTGCAATTTAATCACTTCAAATTAACTTAAAATTGAGTTCCCTACTTAACTAGTTATTAAGTGTAAATCAGTCTTAATTGAATAATATTAAAACAATATTAATGAAAAAATATTTTATTAATTCCAGTGCGACTGAAGGCGAAGACACCGAAAACTCGGATAGTGAAGACAGCCAAGGATTCAACGCAGAATCCTTCCTCCTTGAGATATACCAGACAGCAGAACAAGGTGTAGCCTTCCTATCAAGTCTCCTAGACCTCCCTAACAAACTGAATTCTACAAAACCCGCTACAGAAGCCACTACAGCAAAAACTGATGATGACACCACCCCATCACCAACCTCTCAGAGGAGAGCACCAAAGTACATAAAACACCCCAACCAATTGTGATAAATTAATCCTAATTCTTATATAAGTACAAATCACTATCTCTTAGACGTAATTTAGCTTGCCACTGTATGTGAGAGTGCTTTAAATGCTACGCATAATGATCCTATTTATTGCTTTAAGTTATGTAACAATGTTTAAGTATTTGAGGTAATAAATGACGAAAGAAAGTGTCTTGGTTTACTTTATTCAATTAAGATTTAATTAATCTTGGGAAAATGGTGGCGCTGCGTTGGTCTCAAGCCAAAAGACACCGCGTCTCCTGGAAAAAAAGATAAATTAATTAATAACTAATTAAAACGAAACCGGTACTTAGTTATCAGCTTTTTGTTCATACATGAACTAGACTAGATAGAGTAACTTAGTGGTTGGTTTAGAGTTTAGACATAGCAGATTTAAATCAACGTGATTGTTAAAAACAAATGAATCAACTATGTATCAAAAAGTAGGCCTGAAAATATTTACCCGGTCTTCGGTTCCAGTCCGCCCATTTCCAAGCGGCCTGGCAAAGTATTGCATGCTCCCACCACAGCAAGGTAGAAGTTTATACATTCCTGACCAGTGAAACCACCAGTTCCAAGGGACTCAGCGAAGTAGAAGAAGCTCCTATCGTGGTCGCAGGAGTTGGAATTGCATCCAGGCATGGAAATACCGCCGTTAGGGTAGAAGTCCGCATGAGCTATGTCAGCTAGGAAACCGTTTACGCCGGTGTTGGTGTGAATAACTTCGGTGTAGACTGCGTCGTTGGGACGGAATCGTAGGAGGTTGTTTGCCCAGCCGATGAGGGAGGGATCCAAACCTGTTAGGGACAAAAATTTTATCATTTGAAAAGATTATTAAGACCGGTATTAAGAAAGGATATTTTTATGAACTCTACTCTCAAGAATAGACTGGTTTAAGCAAGTGACGAATATGATCGAAAGATGAAAAAAATACTTTAACTGATTTGTTTCAACTAACGGGCCCAAGACTACAATAAGCAAAGTGTCGTTTGGTTCGACACCACTTTATTTTTATTTTTATGCATATTCATTTATTCCTTATTTATTTAAAAGGTCTCTCATGGCCATGCTCAAGGTCTGGGTTTTCAATGGTTGTTTGCACGTACGTCATTCAAATTATATCTTACCGGTAAGATAAGCGACACCTCTTCCCAAATTCCTAGACACCATTGCAGCTTGGTGTCCACCAACGCCATGTCCGATAATGTGGTACTGCTCCAGAGTACTGCCGCTGGCTTCGTTCAGCCATTCTATAAAGTTGGCGACGGCCCCAGCAGAGAGCACCGTGTTGCGGACCAGTAGGTTGGTGTTGATGGCAGTAGCTCCTGCACTCCAGTCGACCACTATGACGTTGACGTCTTCGGCTGCGAGGTAAGCTGTGAACAAAGGCGCACTTTAAGAATATTTTTTTTAAATTATAATGGATTCACAAATCCAGCCACAGTTGTAAAGCATTAATCATTACGTGTGGACATAATTTATGGCTGTTGTCATTATACAATATGGCGTACTGATATTTATAATGTTAAACTGCTATTTTTAGCTTGAGATAGTAGGTATATCGCAAGTCTGAAAAAAAATATTTATGGAGCTTATTCACTAAGAAAATTACATGCTCTCGGTAATTACTAGTACATCAATGGAAGCTTGTCAAGCACGATGCAGATAGAAAGCCTGCACCACAAGATTATACAGTATTACAGTTCCAGACACGTTATACAGGGTGGAAACGATAAGTGATCTCACTCGTTAGACTTAACACTAACCTGCAACCACCACAGTGTTGAAGTCAGATACAGCATTGTCCCTCCAGCCGTGGATCAGGACTACGGTCTTCTTATCGCTGCTGTAGTTGCTATTCTGTAGTAGTGCAGCATTGTTATTCAGAAGAGGTTGGCTGAGAGACGGATTCGCTCTACGAAAAAAAACATACAGTCGAATTGAGAACCATACATAACATACAGTCGAATTACAAACATTATGGAAGCAATAAACTATTGAGTATTGAGTATTGGCATTTTTTAAGTCTATTGAAAATACAATTTAGTCTAATTGAATTTTAATTAAAATGAAAATTCTAAGAAATGTCTAATGAAATTAAAACTAAACAATTTAACACAGCAATAAACAATATCGAATTTATATTAACAAGCTATTTTTTAATCAAATTAATAGCAATAAATAATATTGATTTGAACAAAAGAGGAACCAATAAATGTTTTTCCAATAATTAAATTGTCTAATAAATATGATATAATTTTCCAATACAATTTAAGTATTTTGAGTTGAGACGTGGCAATTAGTTTGTGTTATTTTAAAGTTAATGTTTAATTTATTTCGACATTTTTAAAAATAAATTATAACACCACAATTATTTCTTAGGAAGCAGTATTTGTTCATTTTGAGTATAAATCATCAATCTTTTACTTTACCTACTAAAGAGGTGATACGCATTAGCAGTAGCGGGGCTATATCTGGCACCTTCTTGGGCATCCTCCAAGAGAGCAGTGGACCCTGCAGGTAATGCTAGAAAAAGGGAAAAAAATATTCAGCACAAAAGTAATAATGTGAATTCTTACTGAAACTGAAAGAGTCCAGTAACTATAGGAAAACTTCCATGGTAAATTCTTGAATATTTTTGCAGATTTGAATGTTGTGGTTAATAAAATTTTAATGTACAACATTATTAAAATTGCATGATAAATAATTCATTTACTTACTAGGACAGTAGGACCACGCCCTTGACGGCTAAATTATTGGGTACATTTGATAATTATTTTTATTGCTCCTTCATCAATACGACTTGTTAATTGGACCAGTTAAAATAAAAATAGTAAATCAATATTAATTACAGGTAAAATAGTTATAACATACCAGATCCAAGCGCGACAATACCAATAAAAATTAAGCAACTAAACGTCCACATGATGACGAAACACTGCTCTAATTGGTTATTGAATATTCACTTTTATCTACCAATTTAATCAAAGTATTACCATATAATCCTGCTTTGGATTAACCAACGTGGATTAACGTATTTCCAATATCCAGGTGTCCATGTAAATAAATTATTACCTGGTAACATACATGATTTACGTCAATACATTATCATTGTAGATAATAATCTAATTATAGATATTCCTTTACTTCCAAAAAATAACTTTCGACTGTTATATTTTGACGAAATATTGGATTTTCTCCCATTTATTTGGGAAAACACTTTAGTCTTTAGTAAAAACATGTCTAGTTTACCTCCACTAAAAATAGAACAATAAACCTAAAAGTTTTTCGATTTGTAATGTACCACGACACGAATGCTGCTAAGAACAAAAATCTATTTTGGACCATAGGAAATGATCAATTTATCTAAAACAGTCCCGTCCCCGTTGCGTAGGAGAGACCAGTAAATTGAAAGATTGCTCCAAAGACATTTTTGCACTTCAGCCCAGCAATTGATGATTTGTCACTCCAGAATTATTTAGTTCTAAAATAAGTACTGGCCGATTCACACGTATTCCGATTAAAAAAAGAGGTTCCCTTTTTAAATATCGGGAAGTGTTTTTTTTTTCAAAATGGCGGACGAAGAATTTGATGTTGCCACATTTAGAAGATCGATGCAGCACTTCACATGGATTGATTATTCAGTTTTCATACTCATGCTGACAGTTTGTGGAGGTATAGGAGTATATTTTGGGTTTGTGAAGAAGCAAAAATCAACACAAGACTATTTACTTGGCGGAAGAAATATGAAGTCAGTTCCTGTTTGCTTTTCTTTAGTTGCCAGGTAAGCGTGTCAAGTGTGGAGGAAGTAAGAAAGGTCATTTTAATTTTATCTCTATCTTTTGTTATGATTTTAATTTTTAATTTTACTGTTGAAAACTAAATCTCGTGGAACGTAATAAAATAGTAAATTTGAACATCCGCATCTATACTAAAAACGCTTGTAATCCGCCAGTGTGGCCCTTCGTAAAAAGTTATTGAATAATAACAGTATGCATTAATAATAAATCACCAATCACTGAAAATTATGATGATTGTTACTAAAGTTAAAAACAATCTACATATTTTACACATGACTAGATTTTTATTAAATTATATCTTCTTGTGTACATAATATTTTAAATTAAGTAATATTGCCTTATTAAAATCCTACAAATAAGTAAGTCATTCCCGGTTTTCAACAGTTTCATTTCAGGAATTTCACTTTTGGGAACCCCTACGGAACTCTACGTGTATGGGACAGCGTACCTTTTCTTCTTAATTGGTGCCTTTTTGATGTCGTTTATAATGTTTCACACTTTTCTCCCAGTGCTACACGAGTTGAGGCTTACATCTGTTTATGAGGTAAGATATAATATGAATAGGCTATTTCTTTAAAAAAATGGGTTGTAGAGCTCCTGTATTCCTTACCTACCTTTTCACAGCCATGTTAAATTGCTTTGAGAGAAAGAAAATTATTGTAAAATCGGTTCTGTTAATCAGAACCTGCATTATTTGAAAATGTTAAGAAATGTAGTAAAAGCCTAAACAAGATTTTAGGATAAACTTTTGTCCTGTTTTTGTTTGCCAGTTTTCCATGTCCATTGCATTTAAACAACTAAGATTTTTTCAGTATCTGGAACTTCGCTTCGATAAGCGGCTAAGAATATTTGGTTCAGTGATTTTCAGTGTTTACCTGGTATGTCATATTCTATTAATGGACTGTTTTATTATCATGGTTTTATTTTCAATTTTATCTACATCTCATGTGTTTTTCATTTCAGATGGCTTGGCTTCCTATAGTAGTTTACGTTCCCGCGTTGGCTTTTAACCAAGGTAGATTATAATTTGTATTTTTATAGTTACTAAGAATACGGAAGCATAATGAAAGACTGTAATTTAATACTTATTTTTACAGTTACTGGTATAAATATCCATATTGTTACGCCGATAGTGTGCTGCGTCTGTATATTTTACACCTGCCTGGTAAATAAAAAACTAATACAGCTACGAATAAGTGGAAGCTCATATTATAAAATTGAACAAAAACTGTGCTTTTTTCAGGGAGGTCTAAAAGCCGTAGTATGGACAGACGTCATACAAACCATTGTTATGGTTCTAGCAATGATCCTAGTTATTATAAAAGGAACAATAAATGTTGGAGGTCTCCAAACTGTGTTAGAACGAAACTGGGATACTGGTCGATTGGAATTTCCTACGTAAGTAGCTGAATCAGAAATGTTTAACTTAATTGGATGTGGGACAATTTGAGTAGGTACAGACAGCAGATCAAGCCAATCACTGCGGTATCTTACGTATGAAGTAATATGTGTTATTTTGTAACAAAATTATATTCTGGTATGCTGTCGACTGTACTATCGGCCACAGTTCCAGCTACTCATTTCCGTTCTTTCTCTCGCTCTCATCAAATTGTGTTTCTTTACGATAGAACTAGACGACGTGACAGGAAATGAGTAGCTGGAACTGTGGCCGATAGTACATTGTGTACATACATTGTATATACAGCAGTGAATTAATAAATAACAAAATTTGTAGGCTTTCACCAGACTTGACAGTGAGGCATACTATCCTGTCAGTGTCCATCGGCTCCACCTTCTATTGGATTGGGAACATCGCCGTGAACCAATCGATGATGCAGAGGTTCCTATCGCTACCAGACTTGAAAATATCCAAAAGGTGGGAAATACTTTTCATGGTGAATACAAATTCAGTAGTTATAATATTTGTATACTGGCCCATTCTACAACTGGCTGCGCATAAGTTGAGCTGCGCATGAGAGCAAAAATTGAGAAAACCAATTTAACTTTTCAACATGAACAATTAATATTTTCAAATTGTAACACCACTTAAGTGCTTTTAGGGATTATGATTTATACCTTATTCAGTTTATTTATGACCTAAGCTATGTAGTCTGCTGTATACTTACTGTATTTATCTTAAATGTAGTGAAATAAAACTCATTTTTAACAAATTTTTAGAGTCGTCTGGGGCTTCCTCGGCGGGATCATCTGTATAATCTTCGTTTGCGCGTACAGCGGTCTTCTAGCGGTCGCTTGGTACTTCAACTGTGACCCGCTGAACTCTCGCCTGGCTCTGGCCAAAGACCAGCTGTTACCATTGCTTGTGATGGACGTCTTCGCGGAATGGAAGGGATTGTCGGGACTCTTTGTGGCTGGTGTCTTTAGTGCAGCGTTAAGGTACTGGTTTATGCTTTCCAAACTTGTACGTTGCGTAAATACAAAACACATTATTATCTTCTTTTAAACAGATAATTATTGCTTTTTTGAATAGGCGCAGACCATCGATTTTTAGTTGGCCGATAGTTGTGCCCGATTTTAAATTGTATATGAAGAATCGACCAAATCCGCGACCAAAACCCGACTAAACTATCGGCCGACGAAAAATCGATGGTCTGCGCCTAGGCTTAAGTAACTTTTAAACTGACTTAGATATGACGAATTGTTCTTGTAGAGCTTAGGCAACATTCACTACGCTGCGCTATGCCATGTCACCACGACTTTTGAATGATATAATAACGCCACACAATACATTGATTCCCGTGGTATAACAGAAGCTAATTTAAACTATACTTAGGCAGGCTTACTAAAGTCCTAAACTTACTTACATTACCTAAAATATTCTTAGTTTTTCAACTTTGTGTTTATTCACAAATATACAGGGTGGAAACGATAAGTGATCTCACTCGATTATTTCTAAACTATACAAGATATCGAAAAACTGGTTACTGGTCCTGAAAGTGCTTCACGAGCTCTTTCAAACGGTACCAATAACAGGTTACAGAATAAACGGGATCTATCCGAAAATTCAATGTTTCCAGCTTCCATATTAAATGTATGCCAACCACGCAATATTAGAAGTGTATTTTTTTTAAACTTTAAACAAAATCGTAAATTGCATTCTTATATAAAATTATTTATGGAAAATTAGTTTTAGGCATTACTTGCTATAAAGTTTGCTATAAATTATCAAGAGATAAGTACCATTATCTGTGATATTACTTAATGTATGGAAGATAAAAACATTGAATTTTTAGATAGATCCAGTTTATTCTGTAACTTAATATCGATACCATAGGATAGAGCTCGTGAAGCACTTTTAGGATCAGTAACCAGTTTCACGATATCTTTTGCAGTTTTTAATATTATGGGGCTGTACCAAATGTATGGAAGCCGGAAACATTGAATTTTCGGATAGATCCAATTTATTCTTTAACCTATTATTGGTACCGTTTGATAGAGCTCATGAAGCACTTTCAGGATCAGTAACTAGTTTTTTGATATCTTGTATAGTTTAGAAATAATCGAGTGAGATCACTTATCGTTTCCACCCTGTATTGATTGTAGCTCTTTATCAACGGGCTTAAACTCCATGGCGGCAGTTGTATTAGAAGACTTCTGGAAGCCGTTCTTCAAAAAACTAACTCATAAACAAACACAAGTGATGATAAGGGCGGTAGTCGTCATACTAGGAGCTGTGTGTGTAGGTGAGTGATTGTAATCAGATAAGATTTCCTGACACGTCATAATACGCTTTGGTTTCATGCGATTAGGCGATAGATCAACTGTAATGATAGACAGAGGGGAGATCGCCTCTTATGTGCGTCCTCTTAGATAGAGATTTATTTCGCTTTTGACCGCTTGTGACTTCATGCAGTAAAAATGCCTTAGGTGAAAGGACCAAATGGACCAATGCATGACTTTGACGTAAATGATATTTGCCCGGTTTTTGAATTGAGATTTTTCATAACTAATAGGTATGTTCACGTTCAAGCTAAAAATCTTCCATTCCCACATTCATTCTCACATTTTGACTCACAAAATCATTCGACCTATTTCAGGATTAGTATTCGTAGTGGAAAAGCTTGGGTCGGTGTTACAGTTGACAATGAGTCTGTCGTCAGCGTCCATGGGACCCCTCACTGGAGTATTTTTGATGGGAATCTTTTTACCCTTCGTTGACTCGACGGTAAGTCCTCAGAATCTATCCACGTTATTTTGGTTCTGGAAGGTTTTCGCTATTTCGCTTTCCCAATCTTGGCCTTCAACTTTTTACACAGTGAAATAGTTTACAAACAATTTATAAGTAACAGATGCTAAAAGTTTGAACGTCATGTTTGAGATTACAACTTTATAATGTACTTTTTTTGTCACACCATCTCTTTCAATTTCTTCCACAGAGTGCACTGGTTGGTGGAATATTAGGTTTAACCTCTTCGTGGTGGCTGGCCACGCAATCACAAATCGCCCAGGCAAGCGGAGCGCTCCGCTTCAACGAAAAGCCAAGATTTACCCAAAACTGTAGTTATTCGTTTGATCCCGTAGTGCACAAGGAAGAGACTCTGGATATGTAAGTATAATTACACTGCACATACAAAACAAATACTTAATAGTAAATGTCATTTATCTTCTTTAATCAGCTAAATCGTCTCTTACTCAGGCCAATTACCAAATCCAAAAGTTAGTTTAGGATCATGGTAAAGGCAAATGTTTTGAATTAAAAAATACTTTCTGTGATTAACGGTGATTAACGTCATTCGAATTAATAGTAAAATAACTATGTACTACGAGTATAAGAGGATTATGACGTTTAACAGATATATTTTAATCATACCTACAGATTGTAGATACCTACATACAACGACCGTACCACATTATTGATATATTAAAATAATTTATTTTTTCAGGGATGTATTCTATTTGTATCGGATCTCCTACTTGTGGTTCACAGCATTCGGTTGTGTGATCACACTGATCATCGCTTCTGCTCTCAGCTTGAGGAGTACTTCCTATGTGCACAGGGACCCTAAGCTTTTTGCGCCAGTTATTAGGAGTTGGATAACAAAAAATCAAAGAGTGAGTAATAATCTATATCTATCTATATATATAAAAGAAAGTCGTGTTAGTTACTCCACTTATAACTCAAGAACGGCTGAACCGATTTAGCTGAAAATTGTCAGGGAGGTAGTTTAGAGCCAGGAGAAGGACATAGGATACTTTTTATCCCGTTATTTATTGCCATTAAGGCGGAACAAAGTTCGCCGGGTCAGCTAGTTATTAGGATGAGTGTGAAAATGACGCTGTCTATCTGTTGTTAGTTGTTACCACTTGACAAAATTGACCTTTACTGGCTGGGTTTTTATTGTCGGTCAAACTGTAGATCTTGGCTACACAGGAGTTGCAGCGGTGGGAATAGTCCCGTAATTTTCGTTACCCCTTAACTGATTTAGACGAAAGATGAAGAGATTTTGTGTGCACGGTACTTACCTAAAGTATTCCTGTGACAAATCTAAATTCATGCGAGTGAAGCCGCTGGCAAAAGTTAGTAGACACTGAAGGTATAAGTTTATTTATTTTAATTACTATGTCGTAGTTATAAATCAAATATGTGACGCAGACGCCTATAACCTTATCTGAGAAAATTGGAAATTGTGATTAATTTAATCTTTTTTTTTTTCAGGTAAAAGAAATAAATCTAGATAACCAAAGTTAATTGATATCTGGTATTAGTATTTAATTAATTATAACACATATTATTGTATCTGATATAGTTTTGTACTAGTTATAAGTAGGTATTATGACCAATTTTACAACGTCAGTGTACCTACCATGAGTTTACGTTAGGTGTGCTCGCTAGCGACTACGTAAAAAAATTACATTTAAATGTATGACATATTGTGCAGCGCCCCTAGCGGCTACTTTCAAGAAATAAAATCTTCATAGAATTTTTTGACGTATTCGCTAGCGAGCTCACCTAACGTAAACTCATGGTAGGCACACAGAGCATCCAAAGCTTAAAAATGTGTTCTTTTAACATTGAATTAGTTACATTTATTTTTATCTTTTGTTTGAATGCTTAAATAGTACAACAAACTCACATGGTTGTTTTGAACGGATTCAAATTACTATGAAGAAGTCTGTTATCATCAATGTTAAAGAAGCTAAAGGTTTTCTGATGCCTTTTAAAACGATTTTGAAAGCTTTAATACAACGGTTGTGATGTTACTGTACTGTGTTTTTGGGATAAATAAAAAAGTAAAGTAAAACTATTGATTTATTTATTAATCTTGATATAGTGATTTTAGAATGGGTAGCTTCTGCCGGTGTTGACTCGGAAAATACCAGATCTGTAGACAAAACAAAACCAAGTCAATAAAAGTTGATCAACTTTATGGAGTTACTATGGCAGGGTAAATTCAATGTCTACGACTGGGTTGCACCATCTTACGAGTACTTTAACTTTAACGAACTTCAAAAGTCTATCAAACCCCCTACAAAAAACACCGGTTATGCAACTCAGCCTTAATAGAATAAAAAAACTTACCCAGACTTGTTCAAGTCGCTGTTACCCATAGGGTATAACGGCCCAGTGCAACGATTCCGGGTGGCGTCTCTCAAGGTACCGCACTCGTTGGCATGTAAGTGGTTGTGTCTGATGGAAGCGACCATGTACTCCACGGCTCTACCGTGAGAGCAGTTGTTGGTCAAGCATCCAGGCATGCTGCTGCCTCCGTTGGGGTAGAAGTCAGCGTCACCACAAGGGTCAGTGTACCCGAGGAAGAAGGTGTTGGTGTGGATCACTTCGACGTATCTCGCGTCAGCCGGGCCGACACGCTCGCGGTCGTAACTCCATAGAGGGCCAGCAGGGTCCAGGGCTAAGAAAAAAATGCATTTTAGGTGCCTAGTTGACGACGTTAGATAACCTAGTTACGGTACGTTCAACCTAAGTGCCTACAGATCTAATGGAAATCACCAGATTCACTAATGCCTATAGACAATTTAACTTAGGTTATCCACGGAACAAATATTTGTTACGATCTTAAATCAGGCGCCTATTCGATTTCAATTCAGTCGATATGTGATGTTAATTTTTAAGAGACCTCCTGCGGAATTTAATGGGTGCAAATCAAAACCGTAAATTAAATAGTAACTTACCGGTCACTCTCCTAATTTGAGCACCAGTTTCCCGTCCGGCGTTACCAACGAGATGACCGCCAAGACTGAAGCCGACAAGGTGCATGTTGTCGTAAGAAGCGCCCAGAGACACGAGCCAGCTGAGGAACTGGCCCAGGCCTCTGCCCACAGCTGGGACTCCATTCTTCGCAGTCAGATAGTTGCGGTTTGCTAGTCGACGCCAGTCAAGTACGAAAACATTGTAGTCACCGTCTTGGAGGAAGGCTGAAAATATACAATAACATGCCAATCTTACATCACTCTCTTTACGTATAGGAAGTGATGTTAAGCAAATCTAGATAAATAAAAACTGTTAATTCACGAGCATTATAGAATGTAAACACGTTGTAGGATAACAGATAGAGAATTTTGATGATTCAAACTTTATTATAACTGCTCTTATTGACATTAATTACCTTCAGTCAGTTGTCTGTTCATGGAATTTGATCCATCGCCGTTCCAACCGTGAGCTAGAACCTTGATAGGCTTAGAGCTGTCAAAGTTGGAGTTGAGGAGCGAGTTGGCATTGAATATTTCAATGACTTGAGCAGTCGTTGGGTTGGCTCTGAAAAAATACACGTAGTTTTCAATATTTCGAAACACTGCAACACCGTTTAGATTTCATTACGATCCCAATGGTGCGTAAAATTAAAATTGGTCAATATTTAGACATCGGGACTCTATTCTTAATTTAATTAAACACAATTATTTTTCTTACTTTACTCGTAATTTTTTTTTTTTTTTTTTTTTTTTTACAAATCCTACTGTTTGCCCTGTTTTAATGAAAAACACTTTAATTAAAAACAAATATTATAATTTTATGGTAACTGAAATTTTGTTTTATTCCCATCCCTAGTCGAGACACAAATTGGACTTTCTTTCAGTGCGAAATGAGGCAGAAAAGATGTCATATATTTTTTTTTTATTTATTCAATACCAAAATGTCATAACTGCGGGCGAAGCTAGTTTAAGGTTAAACATCTATTTAAGATTATAATAGAAAAGTTTCAAGCCAATATTGTCTTTTCTGAGCTATATTTAAAGTATTTTTAGAAACAATATTTTGTGAGGCAGAAAAGGTCTCATACGCACTGTAAAGAAGTTCAATATTGACTCGACGCACTGGCTGAAAGTCTACGAAAAATGGTTTCGCAGTGAGCGTGTTAAGGAGTTTTTTTTTTTTTTTGCTGTGATCATTTGCAATCAGTCCCAAGACTATGAGCAAATCTGTTCTTTGATGCTGTCATGCGGAGTGGCTTCCCATTGGAAGCATCAACTCATCTGCTGCCCGGATCTACTGGCGATCCTCTAGCTCCAGGATATGATGACGTTTCAGTCGTCTCACATACTGGTCCATGGTAAGTTGGCGAGCAAGTTCGTTAGGATGATGGATTAACCGCTCTTTGTACTTAGTTGCCAGACTCCGAATTTCCTCCTTTATTGTTTTCATTTCAAGGTGCTCGTGGACTTCGTTGTTGGTAATGTACCATGGTACTTGTGCAATTGTTCTCAAGATCTTGTTTTGTTGGCGCTGGAGTATACTTATGTTGGAATCGCTTGCGCTGCCCCATAGTTGCAAACCATAAGTCCATATGGGCTTAAGGATAACTTTGTATATTAGGAGTTTGAAACTCGTAATTAATAATTCTTCAATGTGTACCTGGTAAACAGCCAGTATCCATTGTTGTTGGGGTTCCTAGTGTAACTCCTGATGAACTCGTGGTCTACAAACTCTTCAGTGTCCACCAGGTGAAGAGTGTCGTCTCCATCACCAGGGAAATAGAAAAATCTGTCTCCTTCCTTGTAACCCGCAGTTGGGTCTTTAATAACGTTCGCAGCAACAGCTGCAAGAATTGAAAAAATGCTATAACTACCAGCCGTAGTTGTGTATAGGCAGTATAGGTCATGAACAAAAAACTTAAAATACTAACAAGTGCGTATCAAAATAACGGCCTAAAATACTCAGTAGAAAGTAACAAAGATATAACTAAACACATCTAATTACCTACAGTTAAAAAATAACGTATTTTACTGTCATAATGCAACAAACATTTTCCTTTTTTCAACTTAATAAAATAAAAAGAAAGTATTAAGAAATGAAAATAACAATGCTTTATTTTAAATATTATTATAGCCTAATAAAAAGGAAAATAGAGAAAAGATAACAGACAATTTTGTTTAGAAAAGTTAATTACCTGCTATAACGACGGATAAGAGAGCTAGATACCTCATATTTCCTAATAATGGCTTATAATGAACTACACCGATCATCCGGTGACATTGGTTTTTATAAGAACTCCCTTTGTTGGTATTCATTAGATTACCTATCTTTTAAATGTCGATAACGATTGTAAATGATAATTATTCATTTTAATCTTCTTACGTTTTAACTATCTTTAATTGTTTGTTAACAATTTCCACTGCGTCGATGTTTATTACGCATATGAGCAACAAACCTAAAAACATCTTTGTCATACAAAACTTTACAAATCGAATAGTTATTAGTTTATTTGTATAGGTTTTTCTCTTAATTTTAGCAACTTAACATTAAATTATTTGCTGGAAATAAAAAAAAAATGATTCTTTGAAATGCAGAATCTATCCATATTTCATGTACAAGAATTTAATAATAGTAAAGCGACTGTCTGGTCATCCGATTAAACATTTATCTATAACTACTATCAAACAAAGTAATAGATAGGTAATAATAAATATGCTTAAAAACAAATACTTACTCATCATACCTCCTAACAAAACATTACAAGTACCTAACTAGTTCCTTTGTCGGTAACTTATTGTTCATGTCGCAACAAAAATGACATAAAAAGAAATTGAGAGACTTTGGAGAAATAAAGATTAATTGGAAGTCGTAGATTTTGAAAATACGTCAGAATAGTGACGTTGGTATTTGTACTAAAAAATAAACAAGATAATAAATAAATTATTAAAGATAGAATCTATAAAATACAAACAAGTTAATTCGATAATTTAGATGAGTATCTAACTATCTACAAAATCGGTAAGTGATGTAAACTTATGATAAGCATTCATTTGCTTTCAGCAATCACTCTACCATTTTTTTTTTGGAATATGATGTTTTTTAAATCCATTCAGAAATTGAGAAATCTGATAAAATAACTGCAATTTATATAAAATAAACTAAAATCTATTGATTCATTCATTATTTCTCTTAATCTGGTGTTATACATTTTAGAATGGGTAAATACTGGCCGTGTTGACTCGGAATATTCCCGATCTGCGGACAAAAATGAACATTAATATGTATTAAGAAATAAATAACTGTCAGCTCTGTTCAATGATTACTAAAAACTTATCACAAGCAATAAAAGTCTTCTTTTTAAACGAGCTCAGCTTATCAACGGTACTAACTCTGAACACTGATACCTACTTGGTTCTATATCATCGAATCATAGAGAAGAATATGGGTTTATTGTTCAACGTAACTACCGTTCGCTAACCTTTAACAACACTCCTAATCTATCCTCTCCTGCTGTCAGTCTAAGTGATGACTCATAACTCAATAATATCAATCGAAACAACAATAGAATAAAATGACTCGCCCAGATTTATCCAGGTCACTGTTTCCCATGGGATATAGTCCTCCAGTGCAACGATCATTGGTAGCATCCGTGAGGGTTCCGCACTTGTTGGCAAGGAAGTGATCGTATCTGATAGAGGCAACCATATAGTCCACGGCTCTACCATGCGAACAGCTGTTAGTCGAGCATCCAGGCATGCCGCTGCCTCCATTGGGGTAGAAGTCAGCGTCACCACAAGAGTCAGTGAAACCAAGGTTGAAAATGTTTGTGTGGATCACTTCGACGTATCTCGCATCAGTTTGAACTATGCGCTCGCGGTCGCTTCCCCCCCCCATAGCGGTCTGGCGGGGTCCAGAGCTAAAAAATATAAAAGATGAATCTGCTACTAGGTACAAAAGTATTGGCCCTAATATAGATCCCCCTCGGACTCGTCCAGAGCTTAAAATAAATAAAAGGAGTAATCGACTGCTAATAAAAAGAAATAGTCCTAACACTGATCCCAGTGGGACTCCTCGCACTCCTCAACATAATAATGTAACTGCACCACAATATAAACATTTTTTTTTTATCAAAAAATGGTAAATTCAAAACCGTTAAACACAACTTACCAGTAATTCTGCTAACTTGAGCACCAGTTTCCCGTCCAGCGCTACCAACGAGATGACCGCCAAGACTGAAACCTACGAGGTGCATGGTATTGAAAGAAGCGTCCCAATACACGAGCCAGTCGAGGAACTGGCCCAGGCCTCTGCCCACTGCTGGGACTCCATTCTTTGCTGTCAAATAGTTGCGGTTTGCCAGTTGACTCCAGTCAAGTACGAAGACATTGAAATCACCATGTTGGAGGAAGGCTGAAAATATACAATGACATGTCAATGTTATTGTATCACTCGGCACTCTCTTTTGAGTAATATATGCTGTGCTACGAGTAAATACCATGATTTAAAATACCTAAAATATATAACGTAGAAAAACAGATGCAGATCAACGTTAATGATAAACAAATTAACACCTTATAATAACTATTGTCAAATTACCTTCAGTCAGTTGTCTGTTAATGGAATTTAATCCATGGCCTTTCCAACCATGAGCCAGAACCGTAACGGGATTAGAGCTATTAAAGTTGGAGTTCTCTAGCGAGTCAACGTTGTACATTTCAATAACTTGAGCAGTCGTTGGGTTGGCTCTGAAAAATACACGTAGTTTTCAATATTTCGACATACTGTATAAAATGTTCAGATTTCATTACGATCCCAGTATGCGTAAAACTAAAGTTTTTCAATTAGTTCTTCAGGGTTCCGTAGTCCTGACAAGGAACCCTTACAGTTTCGATATGTCTGTCTGTCTGTCCGAGGTTTTTCTTGGAAACTATTGGCACTAGGGTGCTGTAATTTTGTGGAGGTATGTATATTAATCACGCCGACAAAACGGTAAAATAAAATTTTCATGAACTTTCAAGGAAAACTATAACGGTTAAGATACATCAGTTTGTTTAAGAGTAATTAAATAGTCATTTGACTCGTGTATTATAAAATTTCTTAACCAGTAAAAATTCCTTAGAAGAAAATCTGAAAAGTGACTTTAGATGAAGTCAAAGTCAAAGTCAAAGTCAAAATTTCTTTATTTGTTTGGACTAATAAATAGTTCTTACAGATCGTCATTTTGCTCTTAACACGCTCACTGCGTTATGAGGTCTAAAAAGCCACATGCAGAACTTATCGCAGGTGCGGCAGTCATAATCGCGTTCTCTCACTCTGTGCGGGGGGCGACTATTTTAACATTTCTATGAGTACAACAGAGACAAATATATCAAATTGCTTCTCTTACGAAGCCTAGCATAATGACGTAGACAATATTGTATGAGGTCGATTAGGTCCCATACGCACTGGATAGAAATTAATCACGTTCAGTGCGCCGTGAGGTCTGAACTGCCTCCAAAATTGCAGGCCTCATAACATAACCGCACAGGGTGAGGTGCGGGCGCCGCGCATTTAGAGTAGTGATGTGATATGTTTCGATACGGACGCACGCTGTTAGCCGGTGACACATTAACACTGACTTTTTAACTAAAAATGGCATTTGTATACACTTAACGCACGTATTTATTTCAGGTATTCCTAGTGGCAGATAATAATAATAAATATTTTTGGACATTTTACACTGCGCTTCTAGTCCCAAACTAAGCAAAGCTTGTACTATGGGTACTAGACAACGGATATAAACATACTTAAATACTTTTTTTTGTAAATACATACATTTATTATACATAGAAAACACCCAGTCCAATACAAACAAATATATTCATGCACACAAATACTGTGCGGGAATCGAACTCGCAACCTCCGGAATAGTAGTCCGTTTCGAACCACTACACCAAACGGCCGACAATGATGTGCTGAACATTCTCTTAAAAAAGGTGGTCAACGAAAGCGCTGCGTAGGTTGCTACGACAGATTAAGACTAACACTAAATAGCACTCAGGCTGCAAAAAAAAACTAAAAAAAAATTACTTTTTATGTTCTGTGTGACAAATCCTACTGTTTGCCCTGTTTTAATGAAAAACACTTTAATTAAAAACAAATATTATAATTTTATGGTAACTGAAATTTTGTTTTATTCCCATCCCTAGTCGAGACA